AAACAATTTTCTTTTAATTAATAAGTGGCCTTCCACAGGATACCTGGACGCCCATCTGGCTAAAAGCCTGGGGTCATACCCATATTGTCTAATGTCCCTAAAAATAAATGCCATGGAGACTCACATTTGCTTTTATCCTATTGGATAAATTGGATAAATAGAGTTTTATTATGTACTCTAAATTATAGTCCATTTGCTAGTACCGGTAATTCCTTAATCTTCTTTACATTATTTAAGGAGATAAGTCTAATTCAGTTGCATGTAGTGTGAAGTTCTTCTTAGATTTTATTTAGTTTTCTTGTTTCTGGAGTTTGGGTTAATGGTGTCTTTTTTCCTCATTCACAGCGAAAGAAGCTGCTGAGGCGACAAAAAACACAAAGCGATAACAGATGGTAATAAAGGCCCAGCTGTCTCTCTTACGGATAATTCAAGCATGCAGAACTGAATAGGCACGAGCGGACACTGTAGTCGGGGATAATGTTATATTTCATATACAGCAACAGATTGTAACCATTTCCTTGTAAAGCTGCATATACATTGAAATGCTCCCTTTACTACAAATTCCTAGAGTTTTTTTAAAGTAATTTTTGAAATCTTAATGTTGGTTTACCTAATGATACATCCAATAGGAAACCAAAGCACAGAAAGCAGCCGAGTTATCATGTGCCGGTAAACTGGCTACACATTTGTTGTTTCTTTCATTGACTGAGAAGTGTGGAAAACCAACAAAAAGATATTTTGAGGTTTTGGACTCTAATTGGCTGAGAAGTTTGGAAAAGTAACAAGAAGATGTCAGAGATGTGACAGGTGTAACTGGACTCTTTCATTGGCTAAGAGGTGTTGAAAACCAACAAAAAGATGTCACAAACGTTGCACCTGGGGTTTTGGACTCCAATTGGCTGCGAAGTTCGGAAAACCAACAATAAGATGTTGGAGATGTGACAGGTGTAGTTGTGGACTGTTTCATTGGCTGAGAAGTGTGGAAAACCAACAAAAAGCTTTTACGAAAGTTGCACCACTTGGATTTGGACTCTAATTGGCTGAGACGTTTGGAAAAGAAACAAACAGATTGCAGAAATGTGGCACTTGTAGTTGTGGACTCTGATTGGCTGAGTTGTGTGGAAAACCAACAAGAAGATGTCAAGGGCACATCACATTTCTCGGTTGTCTGTTTCTTAGCTTTTATTTTGGGATTTCACGCAACGCCTGTGAGAGAGGCTAATGTCATATCTTCTAACAATGTGCAACCATGACATAGTGAATACACTTTCCAGAGATCACACAGAGCTATGTTGTGTCCAAAGTATTTGCTATATCTTTGCGATATCGTTTTCCTTAGACCATCTAACCGGAATACCGTATTTTCTCGAATAATAGCCAGGGGAATACGAATATTTTTGATTTTCTCACTTAAAATAATCACATCATATCATGTAAACTGAACAGGGGCATTCTAAGTGACTAGTTTTCGTTATCCATATTTCCGGCGGTAGAGTTCAACCTCAACTGCTATGGTTATGTGTACAAATAGATTACTTATTCAAGGACGTTGGTGAACGCTAGGTTAGTGGGGGACGGGGTCCATTATTCAAGGGTGTGTAGGGATTATCTCAAATAATCCCCGCTTAGAGAAGCAATTATTCGAGGGGCTTGACTGATCGAGAGGCGGCAATTATTCGAGGAAATACGATACTTTTTACCAATAGTTTCATGACTTTAAATAAAGCAGACTTAAGTTGTGGTTGCAACTTTCTTAGCGAGTGTATTACTATATCGGTTTGCACTTGTTTTTTTCAAGCTGTTGATACCAAGTTGAACATAACTTGTACCACATGACAACAAATCAGTGAATTTGCACTTCAAGTGTTTTGCAGTAGCTGGCTCAAAACCGGATTACGAGAAACGAGCGCGCTTTAGTTGACAAGTTCTGCGACTTTCAGAGATTTCCATGAGGGAGAGTTACTGCGACAATATTATTGAAATATTAAAAATATAGGAAAAGCTCGCGAAAAGTTGTTTCTGTTCAATTTCTCAAAGTATCTCGATTGTGAGAACATTTTGACTGATAATATTTAGGACTCAGTTTGAACAGGCAGAAAGACAGTACACCAGAAAGAGACGTAGTAGGAAAAGCGCGCATTTCCGAGTAGTTAGAACGTGTTCCAGTTCAAACTATGCACCCTAAGGGGTGGACCATTGGACTTTTGAGGGAAGAGCTGCCAGAAAAGTTGTACCAAAACATAATTCATATAGACGACCACTGCTGAAAGTTAAAGTTTACGCAGGTTGAGTGAGCCTAAAAAAGCATGTTACACGGAGAAAAATATACGCATACGCACGTATCGAGAAATAAACNCGATACTTTTTACCAATAGTTTCATGACTTTAAATAAAGCAGACTTAAGCTGTGGTTGCAACTTTCTTAGCGAGTGTATTACTATATCGGTTTGCACTTGTTTTTTTCAAGCTGTTGATACCAAGTTGAACATAACTTGTACCACATGACAACAAATCAGTGAATTTGCACTTCAAGTGTTTTGCAGTAGCTGGCTCAAAACCGGATTACGAGAAACGAGCGCGCTTTAGTTGACAAGTTCTGCGACTTTCAGAGATTTCCATGAGGGAGAGTTACTGCGACAATATTATTGAAATATTAAAAATATAGGAAAAGCTCGCGAAAAGTTGTTTCTGTTCAATTTCTCAAAGTATCTCGATTGTGAGAACATTTTGACTGATAATATTTAGGACTCAGTTTGAACAGGCAGAAAGACAGTACACCAGACGCATGTTGAGTGAGCCTAAAAAAGCATGTTACACGGAGAAAAATATACGCATACGCACGTATCGAGAAATAAACTGCCTATGAATCGAAGTGGGCAAACATCAAAGGAGCAAACAAAGATGCAAAGATTTATGTTGGAAGGTCCACGACTGTGAACAATCTTTCGATTTGAGTACACACTATGCACAAATAACGTAACCAAAACGTTTCTATTAGTTTGTTCCTCAGTCGGAAGTGAACACAAGTATTGTGTTTCGTGCACGGTCAAGGCCAAAAAATCGAACAAAAACATACAACAAAAGATTTTGTCGGGTTCCATAGCCATTCCCCCCCAATTTGCTATGGTCGATGAAAGGGTTAAAAAATATCCGAGCACCAATTTCTCGAAATTTCACCATCACTCCAAAGTCAAATGGTTTACCCCTAAGTGACAAATAAGTAGATTAAAATAATTAGGTTTTTGTGAAACGGTATCCTCTTCTCCCATATAAAATCCCTGTTTTCGTGATCGCGAAACTGAAAACCAAAACTTTCCTTTCTTGAGCTGTATCCAACAAGGCGGGGTCGATGGGATAATGCGGACACTTTACTTTGATCGAAGAGATTGTGTGAAATGGCGGGAAAATTTGTGGCGCGCGTTCACTTGTTGATTCGGAATAAAACGAGTGGAAAGCGAGCTAGACAGAGCTTTAATATATTCCTCGCACAATCTCCTCTAAAGTCGTCCATTTTCTGGACAATTGTGACAAAAGAGAAAGGTTTACGGGAGGTCTGAAGTAATAGTGTTTCTAAGGATTATAAGCCATGTGCTTGTTTACGAGGCTGTTATAATAAGACTACAATTTTGTTGCTTAGAATAGATCACGTTCACTGATCATGAAGTATAGCAGAATATGGGTAAGACAGGACAAGACTAAAATGAAAGGTAACAAAACTTTAAGGAAATGCATAGCTTACTTTCAGTGTGCTGAAAATGTGTTTTCACTTTCTGAACGAAATTCTATCGGTTTTTGATCTTCCTTTGATGTTTCTTGCCGTTATCCTTCTTCCGTCGGTCAGTTTCGTCATTTCATTTCAGGGGGTAGGTCACTGTTTTCTAGGTAATTCTGTTTGTTGTTGTTGTTTTGTTTGTTTTTTGTTTTGTCAACAATGACTTGGAAACTTCAAATTGACTGAGCAGCAGTCATTCACTGGCAAAAAGAAGGATGATTTCCGAGCTTCTAAATAATGCTTTAATGATAATAATTAACATTAACTTGAAAAAGGACGGGACAATTTTTTTGTTTTTCAAGTGTAAACGAATGCAATCATTTTTAACCTTCCTTAATTTTGCCCATTCGTGCCCTTTTCGTGCCCTTTTCTGTGTGTGTGTGGTTTTTTTT